ACCTCCAGCTCAGAGCCTGGAGCCTGTTTCAGAGTCTGTGACTCCCTCTCTCTCTGACCTTCCCCTGCTCGCGCTGCCTCTCTCTCTCTCTCAGAAATAAAATATTAAAAAATATTTTTTTTAATTTTTTTTTTTAATGTTTTACTTATTTCTGAGAGAGAGAGAGAGAGACAGCGCGAGCAGGGGAGGGTCAGAGAGAGAGGGAGTCACAGACTCTGAAACAGGCTCCAGGCTCTGAGCTGGAGGTCAGCACAGAGCCCGATGCGGGGCTCGAATCCACGAACCGCGAGATCTTGACCTAAGCAAAAGTCGGACGCTTAACCCACTAAGCGACCCAGGCGCCCCTAAAAAATATTTTTTTTAAGTCTTGTAACAGTTTATGCAGAAGCTACAATCTTTTTTCTAATTACTTTTAAAGTACTGATTTATCCTTTACTTTTGGCATAACACACCTTCATCCAGACTAACCAATAGGTTTAAATACGCCTGTTCAAATAATCTCTGTGATAACTGCATTCAGTACACTCAGCTCTGCGCAAAAATGACAAAAACAGACAACCCAAGTAGAAAGCTGAAAGACTAATAGGCGAAACACATTATACAGGGAAGCATTTGTAGAGATCTAGCATATTACTGCATTAACTCTTCCTAGAATGATCTAACTTTGACTTTTTAAAAGACTTTTTAAGATGTAGTTCCATAGGCTAAATTAAAAATAGGTGAGATTGCTGAATCATAATTGGCCTCTTCAGGCCTATGGAAAACATAAATTCTAAGAAATAAATTCTATCAGAAAAGCATTATAAGGGGGCGCCTGGGTGGCTCAGTCGGTTAAGCCCTGACTCTGATTTCGGCTCAGGTCATGATCTCCCAGTTCATGAGACTGAGCCCCATATCAGGCTATGTGCTGACAATGCGAAGCCTGCTTGGTATTCTCTCTCGCTTGCTCGCGCGCTCTCTCTCAAAATAAGCAAACTTCAAAAAAAGCATCATAGGAAAAAAAAGTTTAAATTCCACTCAAATATTTGAAAACACCACCTGAACAGTGATAAAGTCAATGAAACTAGTTATTTGGAAGCAGTTGCAACTGCTACTTCAGAAAATGCATACAGAATTTAGTTGATCAATTCAACAGTGTAGACCAGGGTTATTCAACCTCGCCACTACTGGTATTGGGCTAGATAACTCTTTGTTATGGGAAGCTATCCTATTCATTGTAGGATATTTAGCAGCAACTCTGGCTTCTATTCGCTAGATACCAGGAGCTACCCGCTGATCCTGACTCCAAAATGTCTCCAGACACTGCTAAAATGTCCCACTGTAGCCAAATCAGCCTGGGTTAAGAACCACTAGAGTTGGGTCAGCCTCAGTGCTCATCTTTACTGCTCAGAGGGTTTCAAAAAGCAAATTAACTTCAGTTTCAGAAACATTTCTACTAAGTATAGCGTATGACTCAGGGTAAAGTTATGACCTGAGTTTTCCACTCTCCTTTTGAAACACATTTAATAAAGGGTAAGAGCAACACACCCAAAAAGAGAGGCATATCATTTCATGCCTTGTTCTCGCTGGCAGTCTTTAAAGTTTCTAATTCAGATAAGGCCAGAGAAAACACATCATCATATGTGAGGGTTAAGTACACTGAGCCCTCAGCCAACTCCAACTGCTGGGTGTGGTTCCATTGTGCTCATGGTGGGGGAGCGTTTTTTATACACTCTATTTTATTCTGTCTTAAGGCAGTTAAGTAGGTGCACATATGTGTTTTAAGCTGTTTCAGTGAAAATACTACTTACAGGAAACAAAAGAGAATACTGGAGGAAATTTACATTCTAACCAATTAAAAGGGCTTACAAGGAAATTTTTTCTCAACTCATCTGCCATAAAAAAATCTTTGTACTTTAGCACAGAACGCTGAACAAAAAACAAAATTTTTTTGTTCATATTTTCCTTGTCAATTTTGTAGTGCTTCACGAACTTCTAAAGATAACTGTGACTCAACAGTACCGAAGACTCAGAAATGCAGAGACCAGGCTGAATCTAAAAATGCCAGGCAATATTATAGAAAAAATTTATTTTTTTTAATGTTTTTTATTTATTTCTAGGAGAGAGAGAGAGAGAGACAGCGTGAGCAGGGGAGGGTCAGAGAGAGAGGGAGTGACAGACTCTGAAACAGACTCCAGGCTCTGAGCTGGCAGTCAGCACAGAGCCCGACGCGGGGCTCGAACCCACGAACCGCGAGATCATGACCTAAGGGAAAGTCGGATGCTTAACCGACTAAGCCACCCAGGCGCCCCAAAAATTTATTTTTTTTTTTTAAAAGAATGAGTTCAATACTCCTCTTATTTGGCTCTTCCCTAAAAATGAGAAATCACCAAAATCAATTTGGTTACCTGAAGGTTTTATTTGTCTGTGTTCCAGCTGAATACAGCTTTCTTAATTGGCAATGTTCGCCTTGGGTTTCTTACCAAGACATAAAAAAGAGTTTGTTTTTTCACCTATTATACCAGTATCCTAACTTGTAATATACTTAAGCTGTGAAATACATCAGGTTCTATCAAAGTACGTGCTAATTAAAAAAAATGCATGCTAATAAAAAGTATTTTTTACAAATTTGCAGAATGAATCAACTTCTCAATACAAATATTGATATTGCAGGGGCACCTGGGTGGCTCAGTCAATTAAGCATCTGACTTCCACTCAGGTCATGATTTCGAGGTTCTTGAGTTCAAGCCCCGCATCTGGCTCTGTGCTGACAGCTCAGAGCCTGGAGCCTGCTTCTGAGTCTGTGTCTCCCTCTCTTTCTGCCCCTCCCCTGCTGACTCTCTCTCTCTCTCTCTCTCTCAAAAATAAACATTAAAAAATTTTTTGAACAAATATTGATATTGCAAATTATAGTTCTTATAAAGTAACAAATCAAATGTAAGCAACCACCCATAGGGAAACTTTATTATATATTAGTGCGCAAATTAGAGTTACTTGGGGTTCTCTAGCTATTGGTTGGCCCCTGGATGAATTAAATCAGAATCAGTGGGTCCCACACATCATCAGGTTTTAAATACCACAGGTTACTCTAATGTGCAGCAGAACTGAGATACCAAGGGCTCTACAGTGACTGTTTTTTCTTTTAAACAAAACTCCCCCCCCCCATGTTTTTTAGACAATATACTAAAACTTCAGGTAACTTGGGGAAAGTTTAAAATTCAGATTAACTTTAAAATGCACCTGTGTCACGTGGACAATTCCTCAGTTCACAAGGCCACAGAAACTTGTTAACAGGCATGCCTAGTCATTATAGGCAAATTTTAAACCAGTTTTCAAACCAGTTCACACTGCCTAGGTGCTTCACAGGGATCTTAAAAGAACACTAACCCAACTGTTAAATGCCCCACCACTGGGGCTTTGGGGAGGTGAGAGAACTTTATACTAACTGCTTGCTTCTTATAATTCTCTATTATCTCATTTTAAATAATGCATCTGCATTTATCCTTTTTCCTAAGATTTAGAAATCATGAAAATGAAAAACACACATGCTGCAACGCAGAAGACCAATTTTAAAAAGCCGGTTCAGGGGCGCCTGGGTGGCTCGGTCTGTTAAGCGTCTGACTTGATCTCATGATTCATGGGTTTGAGCCTCACGTCGGGCTCTGTGCTGACAGCTAGCTCAGAGCCTGGAGCCTGCTTCAGATTCTGTCTCCCTCTCTCTCTCTCTGAAATAAATAAAACATTTTAAAAAGTAAAAAAAAAAAATAAATAAAGCCTGCTCTAAACAAGTCCTATTTGGGAACACCAGGAAAATTATGCTAGGACACATATTTATCCCCTATCGTTATTTTTCTTAATTTCACGATTACCCCAGTGAGATAGTAAACGGTGGCTATAAAATAATGCGCTGTACTAGTGTTCATTCTTTAATTACACAGAGATCTGTTTCATCCTAGCGTTTCCTTTACAGGTGGTAAAAGCAGAAACCGGGGATTTCTAGACTGCAAGCTAGCTTCGGTGCAAAGTGGAAAAAAGCACTAATTTGAACTTCAGCTCACTGCAACACTTAACCCTTGACACGGCTTAAAACTACGTAGGTTTTGCGTCGCCAAAAACAAGCCAAAAAGTGAAATGACGTCTTGGGGTCCGTTAGTTCTTTCCTCCCTCTCGCAAAACATTCCACCCAACTTCATACTCGAATTTGAGGGCTCGGATTTAAGATTCTGCAAACGTTCTTTTCTTTCTCTGCCTCGAGATTTCTCAAGTGAAACTTGGGCGATTTCAGTAACACACACAAGCAAGAATACAGCCGGGTAGAATGACAGATGAAGTGTATCCTTCAATCTACGGTCTGTGTCTGAATACGTTTGCTCTCTTAGCTCTCCAGGAAAGCATCAGAACGACCTACGGGGGCCCAGCGTACTGAAAGCACTTCCTAAAAACCCATTCGGACCACATTCTTTTATCTCGTTTAGGGAACGAAGTGTGAGTTTTAAAATCCGCTTTCCTAATACTTGTCAGCGCCTCGAGGGCGTTAGGATGAAAAGCAAGCTCCCAACTCCACGACACTTGGGAGTCCTCCAGCACCGGGTCAAAGGCTGGACCTGGGGCATCAACACCACCCCCCCTCCCAGGCCCCCGGATCCCGGGCAACCAGTGAGCGAAGCGCCAGGCGGGGAGGGGGCCGGAGCCCCGCGGCGCGCGGCTCGGCCAGGGCGGGGCGGGCGGGGCCGGCGGGGCCGGCGGGGCGGCAGTTGCGGGGCTCCGCGCGCCCCGCCCGCCCCACGGGCCTTCGGGCACTGCGGGCCCCCCCCCGCCCCGAGCGCAGGGCCCGACCCCCCAAGGCGGCCGCTCCCAGCCGGGAGCAGACGCGCCGCCCGCGTCCGATCCTCGCTAGCAGCGCCCGGCTCCGAAGGCGCGGCCGAGGGTACCGCGGCCTCCCTGGAGCTGCAGTCGGGAGGGCGGCGGGGGAGAGGAGGGGGTGGCCGTGGAACGGGCCCCGGGGAAACTGGGCACCTCACCTGCTCCTCCCGAGGAAGCCGCTACCGCTCGCTGAGGGGACAACATGGAGCCTCCGCCTTCAGCACAAGCAGCAGGGGCACGGAGAGGGGCGGGCTGAGGCGGGAACGAACCGGCCCAGGAGGCGGGAAACGGGCGGGGCCTGGGCTCCAGACGAAACCCGGGGGAGAAGGAGGGGCGTGCAGAGCGTGGAGGGAAAGAACGCGGGGTGGGTCTTCGAGGCGCGGCAGGCGCCGGGCGGGCCGGAGGGAAAGGCGAGCGCGGCCGAATCCCGCCACCGCCCGACGCGTGTGCCCGACGCGTGTGCGCGCGCGCGCGCCGCTGGCTACCTGGGGCTGCGCACTACAGGACGGCTGTCCGTTGGGAATTGTAGTCCCAGGCTCTGAGTCGCCGTCTGCGGTCCCTAGTCTGCGCACTCATCCGGGGAGGGGAGGAAGCGGAAGAGTGGGAAGGGGCTCGGCGCGGCTCTTCGATGACTGGACTACAACTCCCAGCAGGCCATGCGGAGAGGGGGCGGGGCGATCCCGCTCTAGCCCGGGCCCGCCGGCGAGCCCCGCTGGGATCTTAATCTGGAGACCCGACCGGGGGCAGAGGATTTGGGATAATCCACCTCGAGCCCCTACGCGCCGCGTTTGAGAAGGTTTCGGTGTTTAAGGCCCTAAGGACGGAAGGGAGGCCTCAAACCTGGATGACGTGAGCGTCAGTGGTTTTTTAATGATTTTGACTTCACAAGGAGAGGAGGCCGTGACTTCATCACCACCATCATCAACTTCACCCCATAATCCCGTGCCTCGCTAAGGCTGGTGGTGCAAGATCACCACCGCTCTGATACCTAAGAAATTCCAATGAAACTCCTTCCACAGGCTTTATCCATCCTAAGCCACGGCCATGTCTTGTAAATGTCAGGTTTACAGGACCTTGCTTTGAAGCTACTTTTGCAAGCACAACCTTACTTAAACTGTATGTTGGATCAATGCAAACGCAGGTTCTCCAAAAATGCTTTTATTCACACTTCACATGTGATTGAAAAAATGTCACTTGCCACAGTTGAAGAATCTTGTTATTTTGGATTTGTTGGGGTAGGGGCCGTCATCAGAGGTAAGCTGGCGGAGCTTACCGGAGGCTAAAGCATCCATTACAGGACCACCATGACCTCTTGGTATTACCATTCCCTCATTCATTAGACAAAAATTATACTTTCTTTCTTCTGCCTCTGCCTTAACTATTATAACGTACCCAGAATCTCCTTCCAGCTACCTCTAGGCCTTGCCAAGCCTTTGAGCTGTTTTTACTTCCCGAGTAGATAGGACAGAGGTGAAGCGATGGAGAGAATTCTGCCTAATCTTACCTAAAGAGACCATGTTTCGATTTCTTTCCCCCTGCCCTCCTATTCTTCCCAAACACTCAAGATTGCCTGAATATTCTCCTCGAAGCTTTAGATTTAAGAGTCTAGATCCAGGCTATTTAGGCCGGCAAAAAACTAGACAAGGACATCAGGGCAAGTGGTTACTGGGGTTTCACACTAGGTGTGCAGAATATGACACAAGTACGGGCATTATGTGGCATGCCCAGAAAGAGAGAAGGCCAAAGGCCAATGACTTGTCACAATTGCAACATACGGTGTAAGAATTTAAAATTGCACACACATCCCAGAATTCTCTAGATCCTTTCCTCATCCATTAGACTTCTTACCATCTGACTTATGTTTCAAGTAAAACAGAATCTTTTGTAATATTTATTTATTTTGAGAGACTGCGAGTGGGAGAGAGGAAGAGAGAGGGAGTCCCAAGCAGGATCCACGCTGTCAACACAGAGACCGAGGCGGAGCTCAATTCCACGACCATGAGATCATGACCTGAGCCAAAATCAAGAGTCAGATACTCAACCAACTGAGCCACCCAGGTGCCCCTAAGTAAAACATAATCTTTTCGTTTCTCCTCTCATTAGAATAGGAACTGTCTGTTTTTGTTCACTGCTGTATCTGCAGTGTTTCAAACAATGCCAGGCAGTCAGTAGAAATTAATAAATATTAATTTATTGAATGGAAGAATAAGGAAGGGATGTGTGATACCTAACACTGCTCCCTCACTCTTTGGCTCTCTCAACGGTAGGTCCCTAACTTCTGCTTTTGAACAAAATACCCTGTTCCATTTTAAGAGCTCCCAACAGAGAGCCACTGAAATCCATCCTGTCAGGAAGTGGCCCGCAAACGCTGACATTACATCTGTCTCAATATATCACCAAAGTCCGTGACAGCTGCCTTTGGAACAACACAGTACAAATTATAGGATTTATAACTTTAGGATTAGTCACAGCTCAGAAAACAACTCCTGTAAACAAGAACTATGTTTTGATGTTAGTGTCATTGCTTCTTCCCCAATAACCAGAGCCGTCGAAACAACAGACATTTAAAATGCTAAATATTGATAATACAGATTACAGCCTGCCTTTCCCCATCTCACCTGGAACTGAGCCTGTGCTTTCCTTGTGGTTTTCCAGAAGCAGGTGACGTGTAGACATATTTGAATGGTTAAGGGTTTGGGGTCAGACCCACCTGGCTCTGAATTGTGGCTCTGATGCTTACTAGCTGTGCAAACTTGGGTGAGTTACTTAACCTCTTTGAACTCATTTCATCATCTACTGCCAAATGATTCGAGTGTTGTGGGTTAAATGAGATGTGTTGGGCAATTATGACTGATGCATAGTTGGAGCTCAAAAATTGGTAATCGTAGTCATTCCAGAAAAGCAAAACAATGCCAGAAATACTCCAGATAACCAAGTGTTTTATGAAGCACACAAATAACAAAATTGTTTTCTGCAGTGACATCCATTGTGACTCAGGTCCCAAAGCTTTCCAAAAACAGCTTTCCAAAATTGTTATGTGCCGGGCATAGTGCTTGGCTGTATTGCTGATATACGGGTAAGATGCATTCCTGTCGTCCAGACACTCAAGGTCTTGTGGGGCAAACAGCCAAGTAAATAATTATCACTCACGGTGACTGTGCAGGGACTCAATTCAGGATTTTCTCCTACCGCCCACTCGTAAGATCCATGTTTTTTGTTTTTGTATTTTTTTTAAATCTTTTTTAATGTTTTATTTATTTCTGAGAGAGAGAGAGACAGCATGAGGAACGGAAGGTCAGAGAGAGAGAGAGATACAGAATCTGAAACAGGCTCCAGGCTCTGAGCTAGCTGTCAGCACAGAGCCCGACACAGGGCTCAAACCCACAAACCGTGAGATCATGACCTGAGCCGAAGTCAGAGGCTTAACCGACTGAGCCCCCCAGGCACCCTGATGATTTTCTTTCTATAAACTATGCGACTGGGGGGCCTGGGGGGCTCAGTCGGTTAAGTCTCTGACTGGCTCAGGTCATGTTTGTGGGTTGGAGCCCCGCGATGGGCTCTGTGCTGACAGCTCAGAGCCTGGAGCACAGATTCTGTCTCCCTCTCCCTCTGCCCCTCCCCTACTCATGCTTTCTCTCTCTCTCTCTCTCTCTCTCTCTCTCTCTCTCAAAAATAAGTAACATTTAAAAAGTTAAAGAAGGGGTGCCTGGGTGGCTTAGTCGGTTAAGGGTCCGACTTTCGCTTAGGTCATGATCTCGCGATTCGTGGGTTCGAGCCCCGCGTCGGGCTCTGTGCTGACTGCCAGCTCAGAGCCTGGAGCCTGTTTCAGTCTGTGATTCCCTCTCTCTCTGACCCTCCCCTGCTCACGCTGTCTCTCTCTCTCTCTGTCTCTCTCTCCTAGAAATAAATAAAACATTAAAAAAAAAAAGTTAAAAAAAAAGAAAGTTGGATATCAGGCCTTCAACGTGGTGGTAACACAGTAAAAGCTCAAAATCTATCAGCCGCTTCATCATTGTTATGTCAGCTAACAGCACAGCTATCTGTTTCTTCAAAAAGATACTAGAGGGGTGCCCGGCTGGCTCAGTCAGTTCCAGCCTCACATGGAGCCTACTTAAAAAAAAAAAAAGATACTAGGAAAGATCACTAGAAATTACTATTAAGGAAAGGAAGCAACATACCTGTGTATAGCATGCTACCATTTATGTTAAAAAGAGTGAATAAGGATGAAGAATGGCTCTATTCGCCCTTGCATTTGTCACAGAAAGCTCCTAACGGTACTTACCTATTTGTGTGCAGAGGAAGAGGCTAGTAGCTGGAGAGGGGTTAATAATTGAAGAAAACTATCGTGTATCTACTCTTGAATACATATACTCATATGTATAGGCATACACAAACTATATATATATACACACATATGAATATATTCAACGAGAATTTTTAATTAAAATATATAATTTTTTTTCTAAGTCAGGGAAAAAAATTGGGATAATGAGATGGCCTAGAAGCTGACGTGGGGAACTAGCTATGTCACTGCCAGTCCTAGAGGGACAGGGCCAAGGAATAAGAGGTCCCCTTTAGAGCCTCAGCTGCAAAAATTGCTCCAAAAAGAAATTTTTTTTTTTTTTGCTACACAGAAGTGAGAAGTGGCTATACTCCAGTGAGCACTTCAAAACTCCTGTCTGAGGGGCACCTGGGTGGCTCAGTCGGTTAAGCGTCTGACTTTGGCTCAGGTCATGATCTCACGGTTCATGGGTTCGAGCCCCGCGTCAGGCTCTGTGCTGACTGCCAGCTCAGAGCCTGGAGCCTATTTCAGAGTCTGTGTCTCCCTCTCTCTCTGCCCCTCCCCTGCTCATGCTCTCTCTCTCAAAAATAAATAAATATNAGGCTCTGTGCTGACTGCCAGCTCAGAGCCTGGAGCCTATTTCAGAGTCTGTGTCTCCCTCTCTCTCTGCCCCTCCCCTGCTCATGCTCTCTCTCTCAAAAATAAATAAATATTGGGGAAAAAATTTTTTTAAATACCATCTGAGCCCTTCCCTGCCTGAAAACATCTTTGAATTCGCTGAATCCCCCATATTCCCATTAGCCTGAAGAGGAAGCCTCAGGTTTTCAGTTCTGTAATACTGCCTCTCCACACTCTGGCCCCAACACATCTTTCCCATTTTACCTCCCTCTTGTTTCAATTCAAGCCCTTGGCTCTAGGCAGCTGGGCTAGCCACACCCGAAAAACTTTACACGGAGTCACACCCTGGATCCTCCAGCCACCACAGAAGGCTATGCAGTCTACGGGTAGCTCTAAGGCAGCCTGTGGAGGGGAGGGGCAAGAGGGGATCAAATCTAGGCCAAGTTCTGCTACACAAGCCAGCATTGAAGTGCATTGAGGACTGGGCTGGGAGGAAGGGGTGCTCTCCCGTGACTGGTCTGCCAAGAAGGAGGTCTTACTGTATACTTGCACAAAAGCCACCCCTTCGTTTGTTTCACCCCATTCTCCTCTGCTTTTAATGACCTCCTTCCCATTCCAAACTCTGACTTTGTTCTTCATAAAACCTACCGAGCCTCTACAACTCCGTAATGATTCCCTCTCGCTTTAAATTCCTACAATCCAGTTGCCATCTAATCAGAACACTATGGTTTTGTATTGTTTGGAGTTGTTTTGGTTGCTATCTAAGTTTTGTTTTTATGTGAGTATGTTTTTAAGCCCCAACTAGCTTGTAAGCTCATTGAAGACAGGACAAACTTTTTTTTTTTTTTATTCCTCCACATTTCCCAGGATCGTGTCATTCTCTCAGCAGGTGATCGGTAAACATTTGTGGAACAAATCATAGCTGCAAATAACATCTCACGGAAGAGTCAGTCTCTGGGAAGTTTACTGGTACAGCGAGAGGGAGCCGGTAGGAAAAGCAGTTTCAGGAATTGGATCTCACACACAGCCTCTTATGTAAGAAATCTTAAGAGTATGAAAGGACCACTAATATATCAGTGTCTCGATTTTTAGCTTCTTCTCTCTACTTGCAGTTACCATGAAAACAGGCTTCCTTTCCAATCAGGGACTTCAGAGCCTAGCAATCGCTGTCAGCACTAAGGACCAGCATCATCCATTTTCTTGTCAAGCGCCTAATAAAATAAATTTTTAAAGCTTATGCATTTATCAGAATGGGTAGAAAACTGGCTTGGTTATCAGACTGGTTTCTATTTCCCTTTGTCATCTAAAGGACAGACTGCTGCATTATCAACTAATGCTGTAAGTGTCAGAGTAAGATATTTGCCACGAAGTTATTTTGGGAAATATCTTCTGTGCCGTTTTTTCCAGAGCATTGCAATGGCTGGTTTTTTTCCTATCTGGGCTTTACCTGACCTTAAAAACCATCAAGGGCAGATGTAGTCCACTTCCTGTTCTAGAAGATTTCCACTGGTCAGATCACTTGTCCTCTCTGTTGCTGCCTGGTTTACCACCTCCCCCTTCGTGAGGCTGCACCTCTACAGGATCTGCTGATCTTGCAATTGCCCTTCAGGTCATCGATTGCTGTTTTAGCAATCACAAGGCCTACAGTTTTGATTTTTGTTATTTCCAGTTTACATTCCCCTTTTTAAAAGAATCGTGCACAATTCAAATATTTTGGCCAGATATATGGAGAGGGCTTTGAATTTCACAATCCAACCAAAGAGGAGACCAAAAACAAACAAAAAGGAACAAAATCCAGTATAAGCTAGATATCTGGTTTCAAATAAATTTTCTGCTAAGGACTCCATTTAGGCTATGGATAAAATTCAATTATATGTATTCTGTGGCATATTCTCAAATTTTAAGACCTCATTTTCCCATCCCCCATAACCACAGCCAGGATGTTATCTCTGGGCTCTTCTTCCCATTAGCTCGGCTATTTTTTCTTCAAAATATGTCTTTTTTACTCGATAGCCTATTTGGAGGAGAGGACAACCTTAAGACCCAAGGTGGACCCCTCTCTGAGAACAGAAACAAGATAAGAATATGAAGCAGGTTCTGCGGCTGCATTGCAATGTGACCAGAATGAGTAATAGTTTTTCATTCTGTATAGCATCTTGCTCCACCTACCAAATGGGAGACCGTGCCATCTCTGCCTCATGGTGATATTACGACACATCCAGAAAAATTCATAAAGCACCTTGCAGATGGGCTTTTATCCACATTCCGGTTTTCACTTTTCATTGGCGTCACAGGCAGGAACGCATCAGACAAAAGACATCCACTCAGGAATTTATGGGAAAGACATTCTCCAGCTAATGGAAGCAAAAGAAACTTGTATTGTTAAAACACATGATCCGTCGACCCTAACACATTCACATAAAGAGTTACGAAGGAACACTAACCTGCAGGGCCCCCTCCCGCTTCGACCGCAGTGGTGGGCGGGGCTTGGTGCTGGGCCACGCCCCTCGCGTCTCGTTCCCGGAGGGGCGCGGCCCACCCCGGCCTCCCGCGCCGGCGCTTGGAGAAGCCAGTTTTGCCCCTCCTTCCCCGCAGGAGCGCGGAGGGACAGTTCTAGCGCCTGCGCCCTGCGTCGCTGGGCGCCTAGACCCGCCCGCCGCGCGTCTGGGAGCCCTTTGTGCGCCTGCGCGCTCGCCCTCCCGCCCTCTCGCCGCGCTCGGCTGAGTCAGTCAGTCTGTCGGAGTCTGTCCTCGGAGCAGGAGGGGCGAAGGTACTTCGGAGAGCCAGCTGCACGATTATTTTCTTTCCCCTCCCTCTCTCCCGCCCCACATCTCTCTTCACCCCTCTCCTGCCCTCGCTCGCGCAGCCATGGCGGAGCCGTCGGCGGCCACTCAGTCCCCGTCTGTCTCCTCGTCGTCCTCCGGGGCCGAGCCTTCGGCGCCCGGCGGCGGGAGCCCGGGAGCCTGCCCCGCCCTGGGGGCGAAGAGCTGCGGCTCCTCCTGTGCGGGTGAGGCGCGCCGGGGAACCCCGCCCTTGGTGGGTGGGGGGTGCATTGGAGTGTCAGGGGAGGCAAATGACCCTCGCCCACCGGAGGCTTCAGCCCCCGGTCACGAGCGTGTGGAAAATGGGCTAAGGGGGAGGGGAGCGTAAGGTGGTGCAAACGGTGAGGAAATAACGGGGTGTGAGGCAAACAGGTTGGGGGCGGGGAGATATTCTAGGGAGTGGGCGTTAACGCCGAGGCAGAGCAGGTGGGGGGGGGGACCGCCGTTTCGGGGGAGCCATCCGCTGCACCGGGGTGGTTTAGTGGAGGATTAGAGAGATTGAGAGGATTGGGGCAGGTTGGTTGCAGGAGAAAGAGCTAGCTGGGGTTATGAAGGGATGATGGTGAAAAGGTTGCATTGCAGGTTTACAGATGGGTGTTGACATAGAAATACATGGTAGTCCCCCCAAAATAGAGAAACAGCTCTCGGTTTCCCGTGGGGGAGGATTGGGACCTTTGATGGCAACATGGTAGCCGTTTTCTAGACTCTCTTCGTGTGTTTGTGATTTTTGTGGGTGGTTGGACCCTCTAAAATGCTCGTTTTTCTGGGGCTGCGAGGTGAGAGGAGGCGCGATGAGAACAGCTCCGGGAAGATGCGGGAGGGAGCCGCCGATGGTCCAAGATGGATCCGGGGCTGCATCTGCAACACGGCCCGCTCTTCACTGGCGCGGCGTGGGGGGTGGGGACGAGCCATCAATTGCTTATATATTCTAGAAGATAATAGAGTCATGCCAAGCCATCAACACATGTTGATTTCATGCTCTCTGTGGGCTATTGATCGCAGCGTAACAAAGGGGAGTGTTTAGCGCAGAAAGGGGGGAGGGGGAGAAACATTTAGACAAAGCAGGAGCTGGTTGAACCCCCTTCTCCTGTCTCTCTGCGAAAGACTGGGAGGCAAGCTGCAGGCCGCTTTTAGTTTCCATTGTATACGCGTTCGCCTGCTGGGGGGAGCTGGCTGGCAAGCTCCCCTCGTGCAGAGATCTGCAGTGCAGATGCCTTCTTGAGGGGGAAAAAAATGCACCGTGAGCAGGTGGTGGTTCTTAGAGGAACTCAGTCTTTGAAAAAAAAGAAAAAAAACCTTTCTGTCAAAGGAAGGGGGCCATAGCCCAGGGAAAGTAAGATAATTTTGCTCTGCATTTAGTTACCTTAAAGGATTTTGAGCCATTTTAAAAAATACTCCATTGTCTCCGTTGCCAGAATCTTGGGTTGATTGTTCTAAGGAGCGAAGAACTTCTGATCTTCGCTTTAAATATTCTCTGGGTGTTCTGTTTTGTTCAGATCATCTCTACACCCAGAGTGGGGCTCAAACTCACGACCCCCGAGGTCAAGAGTTGGATGCTCCACCGGCTGAGCCAGGCTGGTGCCCCTTTTCTCTAGGTGTGTCTTGAGCCCTGGATTTCCGCATTTAGAGCTTTGGCACTCTGTTGGATTTTCCAGTATGGTTTTGGCCGTTTTGGTAGAAACCCTATCAAAGGAAGCTTCTGCAAGGTCAAGATTTAGCTGTACAGATAAAGGGATGAGGCAGCAAATTTAGAACCCTTGTTCCCTTTAAACCACCAGCCTTTCTCCTCCAAATTTTTGTATTCTGGGCAAAGGTCCAGATGAACAGCAGCTTCCCTATAACTTAGCAACTTGGTGTTTTGGATTTAATCACTTGTCATTTCTTACCGTTTTGTGGTTGGCCCTTTTGTGCAGACCTTTTGATTCTTCTTGATTTTGAATTCTTGATTCACCTGCAAAATAGATACTCTGTCTTAAATTCTCATTAATCGTAGGTGGGTATTAATAGTATCTAAAAATCATTAATACAGTTTTGGTGGGCCTCATTGGTCGGGGCACTACTTGAAAAGTTGAGCTCAAGATACTGTAATGTGTAGCTTTTATTCTGTTGGAGAAGCTCTTCCCCTTGTAGAATGTTTTCTCTGTATCTTAAAGTAAATGTCCTAGGCTTCTGCATGATGAAAATAAGGTGACGTTTGTTATTCCAAAATTTAACCTATTTAAAATGGACATTTAAAAATCTACCTCGATTGTTTAAAAAGTCTACAGTTGTTGATTGATGTCAGCTTTCAGCTTCACATTCCTCCACCAAGCTCCTCCTGGTTTTAGAGACTTTTTTGTTTTGTTTTATTTCTGAGAGAGAGAGACAGCATGAGCAGGGGAGGGGCAGAGAGAGAGAGGGAGACACAGAATCTGAAGCAGGCTCCAGGCTCTGAGTTGTCAGCACAGAGCCTCACACGGGGCTCGAACCCACAAACTGTGAGATCATGACCTGAGCCGAAGTCGGATGCCCAACTGACTGAGCCTCCCAGGCGCCCCTAGAGACTTTCAAAATGTAAAAGAAGTGGTCGCTTGGTGTCCTGCAGGAAAAAGTTTTGTCCCAACTGACCTGTCTAGTAACAAACAGCCTTTAGAGATATTATTTCCTCCCTACAGGTAGAGAATGAGTGATGACACCCTCTGGTCTAGTGCCCAGGTACTAGAGCAGGCAGCAGAGTATGCTTGGAGAAGGAGGTCGAGGGCCAGAATTGGCTTCCCCGAGTTTCTGCCCTTGAAGAAAATCAAAGATCACAAAGTCAGAAATTTGAGGTTAAGGTAAAAGAGACTTAAATATTTAGTGTTTTTTCAGGAGGAGGGTTGCCGTTATTAGACGTCAAGCATAGATACATTATTTGAACTTTGAATGCTTACTGTCTTTATAGCCTTTAAAGTTCTACAGCTTGACAGAGACTGTCCTTTATTATTGCTATGAATATCATGATGCCAAAATAAAGCTGCATCTTGTGTCTGTTCTTGGAAAGTAGCTCAAAGCAAAAACAACTTGGACAGTTTTAAAAAAATAAGTTTTTGCTTTAAATATCTCTTTTCTCACTCATGAAACTTAGTTGTCCTGTGTACTTTTTATGGCATCATTTTCACAGTTTATTATGTCAGTCACATGTGAGTATGTAATTTGTATTTTCCATCTTAACCCTTAGAAAGGAATCTACCTGTTGAACACTGACATTGACTGTATTATATTCACGTCACATTATCAGTGGCAGTATAACATGGTGATAAACATGCAGCTGCCGAAGCAGATAGATTTCAAGCCTGATTCTGTCTCTTAATGGTTGTATGACTTTGTGTATGTATATTCTGAGCCTCAGCAATATGACGTAGGCAAATTTGCTTTGTGCCCGTAAATCCTAACTTATTGAATAAAAGTACCTAATACTTGGTACGCTTATTTGTGGGTTGCAAACTGTTTGCACACAGATACAAAATAAGTTGAGGGGCCCCTCGGTGGCTCAGTTGGTTAAGTGTCCGACTTCAGCTCAGGTCATGATCTCACCGTTCGTGGGTTCGAGCCCTGTGTCGGCCTCTGTGCTGACAGCTCAGAGGCTGGAGCCTGCTTTGGGTTCTGTGGCTCCCTCTCTCTCTGCCCCTCCCCTGCTCATGCTCTGTCTCTCTCTCTCTCTCAAAAATAAATAAATATGAAAAAATTTTAAAAACAAAATACCAGTTGAATTACATGTGAGAAGTCATAATCTTTCTCACAATGAAGGAAGATCTTATACCACTTTCCTCTTTATGAAAGTGAGTGTTGCAGCTTTTGCTTCACATTAATGGCTTAAAGCTACCAGCCCTTTCACTCGGCTAGTCAGTTAAAAAGGAAGAAGAGGGGCAGCCAAGGTGTTTTGTAGATAGCTTGGCATGACATTAGTATGCTTAAGTATTGGGCCACCAGGCTGGCTCATTCAGAAGAGCATGCAACTCTTCATCTCGGGTTCATGAATTTGAGCCCTACATGGGGTGTATAGATAAATAAAGCTTAAAAATATATGCTTAAGTGTTTTCTGCAGCATTCTGACAGTAAGTGTGTTACAGTGGTCAGGGAATGCAAGAGCGCAGGAGACAGCAAGAACAGCTATGTCAGTATGTTTTACATTTGCCTGTTGACTTGGATGGTTTTTATTTCCCAGAAATAAAACGTTTCTTTTAATACTATTTTCTTTTCGAGTCACATTCACAAATAATTTAACCACTCTAATCAAACAAACCAGTCTTTCATATGTAACAGGCATACCTTAACCCTAAATTGAAATTTCTAGAGGATTGTTTATGAAATTGCTGGTAAGTGCATCAGTGTTTTTTAAATTTTTATGACTTTACAGGTGGTCTGAAAACAAAATAAAATGAATATTATTGCTTTTATCGCATTCTGTGGTAAGGAAATTAAATATTCATCCTGATCTAGGACTCACTGGTTTTATTTTATTTGAGGGAGAGGGAGGGACTCACCTCTTTAATCCTAGTGTTTCAAACACTTGTAAATGAAGTTTAGTAGTGAGGGAGTTGGTGACATGTCACTGAAGGTTAGGGAAAGTTAAGGTTCCCAGGGTTTTTTTGAGGTGGTTTGTTCTATAGAAAAGCACTTCTCTTTAGCAGTAATCCTAGAATTTACCATTTTTGTAATTCCAAGTGGAATTATAAAGGCTCCCAATAAATCAATAATTACACATATTTGTTCTATGTACTTAATAGTTTGTGTTCGGCTTTATTGTTAATGATGAATTTTATAACTCCCTCCAAAACTGTATAGACTTGTGAAAAATATGTAAACTTCATAGTAAAGCTTTTTTGATAAAAATTATCAAGTTGATATTATGTTTATATAATTATCTCATTCAGAAGCTGCCCAGGAAACTGACTTTTTATTCAGTTCTTTTATTACAGTTGTTAATACTAGAATTATTTTTGGTCATTGAGTATGTTAACAGAGGTTTTAAAAAATTGTATGTGACACGTAAGTTTAGCTATAATCAGTATTGCTTATGATTGCATCATTGAAGTCTTTTACTGCATATTTGTGACTTATGTAAGACCTGTTACTCTGTGATACTGCAGTTTCAGAGAGAATCTCTTTAAATAAAACTGTATCGGATTTGTGTTTCTGTCTTATTAGGAAGGGGTGTAATTGTCAG